TATTTAATTAATTATTAAATCGCTGATGTGAATAAAACTTCTATGCAATTGCTCCATTATCATTGATTTTTAATTATTAATTTTCAATTTAATATAGATTCTAATTAATCGATATAAAGGAATTAAAATAGCTGAACCTAGACCTTTAGAAATTTATAGGATATAGACACGAACATTGCACCAGATTATAAGTAACTGGCACCTGTTACGTAATAACTAAATGCAATAGCACTAGAATATAGGTAATCAGTATTGGGCTATTTGTTAGTTTGGAAGTCTTGCACCCCTACTTGGGCATGACGGGCATGACGGCAGGTCTTGGATCAAGTTTAAATTATAAGTTAGTAGAGCTTCTCAAGACCAGTAGAATACTTTTTGCCGGTTAAAACATTCAAAAGAAAAGCGGCAGGACACAGTAAAATATAAGTAATGAAACCATATGAGGATTCAGTGCATGGCCTCAAGCCCTCGAGTCAACAGCTCACTACTACTTTCATTTACTCCAGTGCAATTGCATTTAGTTATTACGTAGCAGATGCCAGATATAGCCTGGTTCAATGTTTGTGTTTACACCCTGTATAAGATACTGTAAAGTCCAAGAAATAATTAAAATTAGCAGCTCTTAGGTATGAAAGTGAAAAATTTTGTATCTCCCAGATATAAATTGTAAAATTTTCTAATTTAAAAAGACATATTGCATTTAGCAGTCTATTACAGAATTCTTTTCACGAACTATACATCTTGGAAGTGTTTTATATACTTCTAAAGGTACGCGTACCACAGGTTGAAAAACACTACTTTATATAATCTATAAAACAACCTTGCAAGTGCAAGCCTCCCTATGCTCCCGCAAACTGCTACTACAGTATATTTATATATAATATATATAGTGTCTCCTACTATATATAAATATATATAGTAGAATATTTTGATAAGTATACATTATATAACTAGCTCCAATACTCGAAATCCATTAGGAACCAAGACATTGAGTATCGATGTATTGAACATGCAAGAATATCGTTGATGCATTATAAAAACTTACAAAGAACAGTTTCTCGAGTCCGAACTCTTCTAGAACCTCTCAAATATAAAACCGACACCGACAAGCCGATAAGAATGTATTTTTAGTGTCCAGTGATAAAATATTTTGGAAAAATTGATCAATGTAAATACGAAAAGAAATAATATTCGCTATTTAATACAGAAACATCCATCAATCTGACGTAATAGAATAAAGTAAGAATGACATGCCTTTCCAGCTTGTCTTCCCGCTTTCTATAAACATATCACTTCGACTGAATGGCCAATTTTATTAAAGAAAAGAACAGTTTTCGAGCATTTAAATCATTTTACTTTTCCTCTGTTATATATAACAGAGAGAAAGTATGGAACTCGGTCATTAAATGATCCCCAAAACTTTTATATTTCTGGACTCAGGGGAACTTGAAACATCGAGAAGTGCAAATAAGTTCGGGTGTTTTTTCTATATATTAGGATGTTAATTTGTGGGGGGGGCACGATTTTGTTTTCCCTGTTTGAAGCTTAATAACTCCTGTGCTTTTGGTCGAAATTTTTTGAAATTTTTCAAGGAGGTTTGTTTATTAAACGGATTGATGCTATTAAATTTTGCTGGTTAAAGATCGACGAAGTGGGGAGTAGAGGTAGGTCGTGTGTCGTATCTCCAATAGGGTCGGATTTAAATTAATGACAGTTTTACTGGTTATTAGCATTTACAATTTTTTTAAAAATAAAACCCATCCCTACCCTCAAAATTAAGCTTTATGCCATTTTATAATAATTAAAAATATAAAAAGTTTTTTTTAATAAAATATCATAACAGAAGGCGCTACACGTAGTTTTAAATGTGGCCGAGAAAGTTAAGCAACTCGTTGCTGGATTTTTTCGGTTGATATAGAGCCTCTGTTTTCCTGTATTATTCTTTGTACTGTACATATATAAAAACGGCCTCCAATTAATTATAAGTTAATAACAAAAATACTATAAAAAATAGAATTTAGTATCCGTTTCTATATTAAAATGAAATTATCATCTGAGAGAAAGATTTATGTTTTCAATTAGAAAACTTTTCCTAATAAAATGTTTCTTTTCAAAACATTTCGTTCGGAATGAAAACATTTCGTTCGGAATGGAAACATTTTCTTTTCACTCAAAATGGAAGTTGATACGAGAGATTTGAATTTATCACATACTTTTGTCAGTCAGATTAGTGAAAAAATCGACATTTTGATACTAATTTAGTAAAGAATTGTTATTTATTTTTCTTTACTTCGTTCTACGTCTACTGTAAAAAATCCTTTTATTGGAAGTAAAAATGGAGCAAAGGATATTGGTTATTGGAATGAATTAATCAAAGCTAATCTCAAATATTGAAAGGATAGTTGAATATTGTAAGTTATTATATCGGTTTTAAGCTCGAAAAATTAGTAAATACTTAAATATGAGCAGCATCCTCAAGCGAAACGAAGGAAGAAAAGCTCCTCCGCATCACCTGAAGATGCTGGATAGTTCTGCGGATAGTTATGGAAAAGATGATACTGTACTGTACATAAATTTCTAGTTTTTTGTGACTAAGTAACATTAATAATTAATTATTAAATTAATTTTACTGCAACAATGATTATAATTTATTTTAATATTAAGATTAAATGAATTATTCGTGGCTTACAATGGAAAATCATTCGGTTTGTAATTTAGGACCTGTAAATGAGACTGAGAACTATCTACAATATAACAATTTAATCCATATAATTACTAAAAGATTATTTATGCTATTAAATCTAAATTAACGTGTATATAATAGATAATTTAAAATATTTAATGCATCCATATAGTAGACTATTAGCGTAATTGTTAATTTATATGCTAATAAAATATTAACATATAAATTATTCAAACTATTGTTAACTAAACTTAAATGTTTTTTAAATCTTTCATTCAATTAATGAAAAAAATATTTAATTTTTTGTTAAGTCAATAAAATTAACGTAAAAAATATATTTATATGAAGTTATTTTAGTTTTATTCTAGCAAATGTATTCAAATAAATGTAATAACCCACTTCCTCTTATATCTAAGGAATATATAAAAATTATTATAATAAATTTAACAATATTCTTTTTTCCTGTAGACATGATTTAAACTCATATTTATGATATATATGCATATTTATGAGTGCTTAGAGGTGTTATAAATTTATTTTACATTTTTTACTCTTCCATATTAACGACAAATTCTAATATAAACTAAAGATTTTACCATATTTATATTCATGTTACGTACAGAAGTGCATTTTCGTGTTAAAAGTTACCTTTTAAAATTATTTATATACCTGAATCGCTTATTCTTGAAATAGAAACCTAGCATATGGCTCTAGTCTACCTGTATAAACAATATCATATCCTCTTAATACACGTGGAATCCATTAGCACTTCAAAGTTTTCTTTAATTATAACTAATTACTTTTATAATTTAATGTAATAACAGACAAATTAGGTTAAGATAAATATTTTTTTAATATTATATCAGACTTTAAATAGTATAAATTGTTTTAAAACGAAGAAAAAATGGGTGTTTATATAAGGAATATTAAGCAAAATCGATATAAATGTCGTCATCTATTTACATGTGACGTTTCTATGCAGTGTGATTTAAGTAAATTGGAGTAGATCAACAGTTAGGAATGGTGTTGTAAATATAGAAGCCGAATTCGAATTCGAAAAATAATTTTAAGTAAATACAAAATTTTAACTAATGCTTAGTTAAAAGATAAAGAAAACAACAAATAACAAACAATTCGAAAGAGATTTCAATTTTATTTACGATTTAAGTATTTTGAAACTCAATTTATTAGTGAGAATAAATAAAATAATTGCCGAATACATAATTTATTCATAGCAAGTTTCGTAAGATTATAATTCTCGAACTGTTTGTCTGTATGTTGCTGCTTGTTTTCAGTAATTATTCGTATATTTTATATCAAACTATGATATTTTCATATTTTATTCTTATTATTTATGTTTCGAAACGAATATTATGAAAGAACAATTCACATTTTGAATAATGAATAGAATGCGACTCTCTGACTTGCCACTTGGATGAAATATCAATTATAACAAATGACATTGATCCGAATATTAAGAAAAAATAATACTTCAATAAATATTCGTTAAAGAATTTATATGGCTCTTCTTCATAATTAAGCATTATTTAGGTAATCATTCGTTATAAAAAATATTGTTTATATACATGCTTAAAAAATAGGAGTAGTTATCAAAGGTAGAGACTTGTTCAGGTAACATCTCTAGCATGATACCTGAATAAGTCTCTTAGTAGGTAGGTGGGTATAGGTTAGAGCGTATATTTTTCATCGTAGATTCTAAAAGACATATACATTTACTTTTGACTAAGAGGAGGTTTATGCTTCTCTGCCTTTCTCTGAATACCACTCTAAAGAAAGGTGTCCACCAGAAGCCTGGTGGATAAAACCACTAAACAATGTGGGTTCGACCTGACAAACGGATTGGCCAAGTGAAATTTTCTGGTTGTTCTATACGTGTATAATACCTAAATAGGGGCCTGTTTCCATTGAAAGTCCTCCTGTGAAGCACTCCCCGCTGGCAGATAGCCCAAGTGTATGTTGCCTTATCGCATCATGTCTCCTCCTCCTCCTCCTCTTCTAAAGAAAGTTGTTTTTTAACTCTTTACAAGTTTAGAATTTTGTTTTAATAATTGAAAGTCATGTTCATATGTGCAAAAACACATCAAATTCAAGTGTATATGAGAAGTAAACACACAAAAACATCTCGCGGGAAAAATTGTGTTTTTTTAAACACGTTAAATTAGTAAAAAAGTACGTTTTATTCGCATAAAATTTAAGTTTTATAAAATTCATTCACGCAATTCTAAAATTTAACACTGCGATTTTCGAAAATATTCAGAAATTCGAATATTTCTTTTTAAAATAATCGAAACTCGGACATGAAATTGGCATTTATTCGGACATGAAATTGGCATTTATTTTACGAAAGACTATATCGTAGGATAGGAAATTTTTATAAAAATGCAACATAATTACTTCGAATCAATTAGAAAAGAAGTATTTAAATGCACATTCTCTTCATTCTTCATTGTTTTCGCCCATACTTACGGGTAGGTAGTTGAAATATGCTAGCTATTCTTTGCTATTCTCTAACGTCAATTGCTTATATTTTATTTTAAATGTATCGATGTAAGACATTTTAAGTAATCGCGAAGAAAGAGTAGGAGATTATATTCTAGAGAAAGAGAGATTATGTTTTTCTTTATCCATGTTCAAGAATAGAGAATTCTTCATTTTAGAATCGGAAATTTGAGATCTAAAGACGACGATGCCATTCATCATTTGAGAATTTCAATGGGATGAAATAAGCGAGAATGATGGAACACTTTCGTCTTGACAGTATCGGCAGGTGTGCAAACAAATTACTTTGGCGGTAATGGAATGCAAAAAAGAAATTCTAATAAATTCCAAAACTTTTCTTGTGTAAGAGATATGAAAACTTGCTACCAAAAATTTATAAAAAATTAATTTATTTTTTAAATTTAAAATATGAAGGAAGATGTAGTTATATCCCGATAACAATTGAAAAATTATTGTATTTTCTAGTGAACTTTTTTATTTCAAATATTTTCTACTGAAGTAAATTAGTTTGTTTTCGTTGGTCTTCCTTTTCTATGTTTGAATCTCGTTCGAATTTCGCTTTAGGAGCAGATTGTGATGAAAATTACTGAGATGAGAGGGAAGCTTGGAGTGAAAAATACTTTGTATTATCGAAACTAAATCTAAAAATTGGTAAATATTATAACAGTAAACTCTTTTACATTAAAATAAAATATTATTTTATCTAATATTTCCTAAATTTTAATTAAATCTAAAGTATATTTATGTATCTGTCGATGTTTCTCGAGAAGTTTAATCGAATTGACAAAGATTTAATCCAAATGAAGCTTCGAATCTCGAAGATTTTAACATGGAAGAATGAAGTTTTGAGAGACGAATTTTGAGTGACATTTGACCTTAAAGTTTTTATTGTCACTAATGGAAAGTTAATAAAAGAATTCGAAGAAGTGGAAAGACGAATAGAGCAACGATAAAGCAGAATAATAGAAATGAGAATCTCCATCAAAAATTGATTTTTTTATTAATGACTATCGAATGGTTTTCCTCGCATTTAATGAAAATAACCTCGATTTAGTAAAATACACTTTGCGGATAAAATAATTTAAAATAAAAATAATTTATTCTTATTATTAAAATTATTTTGAGTAAAAAGTTAAATGTTTAATGTTTTTCTCTCTAATTTAGTTATTACTCACTCCCTTCTGAGGAGCGTAAAAACGAACCCCCTAAAGCAAAATGATAATTAGTGGAACATTCATATGAATGGTATAGAATATTAAGAGATACTTATGGGAATTTCTCGAATTCTCGAGAGGGTTGTAATTATGGAAATAAGCATGACATAGCAGGAACATTTGTTACTCTTTAGCATCACTTACAACACGCATCATTCGAGATCCGACTAGATACAGTTTAAATTATTTAATTCATGTAAATACGATTTAAATAAACCAATAATATAAAGGAAAATTAAAAAATACAGAAAAGTCATTTTTTATTATACAAAGAATTGGGCTTAAAGGAGTAGATTTAGTGATAGAGTGAGTAGTAGAGATGTTGGATGGTAGTAAAGTTATAAATTATAATAAGATATAAAGCGTGATGGTGAAATTTTATTTAAATAGTAGAAAATATTTATTAATTCACGAAGAAATTCGATAGAAAAACAACTTTTAATCATCCAAATTCCGTTCGAGCAAACGGTCTTAATCCACTAAAGTGGATTTTCTTTCGATCGAAAACGTTTCTACAACAAAATTTCCGACTTCTTACAGATAAATATTCCACCTTTTCAAGCTAAAGGCTGATTGACAGATCCTAAAGAGATACCAAAAAACCTTTTCTATAGAAATTGAAGTCATTCGACAACCCAAAATTTCCTCACATTCGACGATCTCCTTTATTTAAAAAACAGTAAAAAATCGATAACGCGAGATTTATTTTAACTAAAATTCGAATTTAATGGAGTTGTTAAATAAGCAAATTGGTCATTATCTCCGTAGATAAAAATTTCCACGTTAATTAAATATGATAATATTGCTACTTCCTCTTCGTTAACGATTAATGAGGTATATTATTATTATTATTTAATGATTATATAGTTGAAATTATTAAAAAATTTTTATATCCTGAAATAAATTTAAGGAAATTTTATCATTTATAAAGTCTAAAACTTCTGTTTTTGGAAAAGAAAGTATAAATTATGTCATTGGTTTTACTTTCCTGGCTGTTATATAACAGAAGGAAACCGTATGACAACCGGTCAATAAATGACCCCCAAGATTGAAAAATTCACCCCAAGATTTCCAAAAATGACCCCGAGACATTGTTGGATTCAGAAATCTTGAAAATTCGAGAAATGCGATGAAGTTGTGAGATTTTTCTGTGTGTATGGATGTTAGAGTGTGGGGGGACAAGATTTTTATCACCTAGTCTAAAGCTTAATATCTCCTATGCTTTACATCAAAAATATCTGAAATTTTGTAGAGAGGTTTCTGTATTAAATGGAAATATTTTTAGAAATTTTCAGGAAAATCAGATCATTGGTTCAGGAGATATGGGCCACCCTCTTAATATCTCTTGAACTAATCTGAAGACTTGAAGGTAATGATAGTAATAATTAGAAATGAAAACATAAAGAATGCCGAAAAAGTCCAGCAACAACATTGCCAACTTTTTTTATTATTATTAAATTCCATTAAAACTCCCATTTTCTAAATAATTTTCTTGGCTTTCTTATTATCTACTTTATTATTCTTTTGTAAAAGTTTTACTTAAGGTTTCTGTAAAATTTTTATATATATAAAAAAAAGGTAAGTTTTTAATAATTCAATACAAAATTATTCCAAGAATTTAAGTTTTTAGAGACAAACCGGAGCGGTTATTTACTACAGTTTGCCTCTAAGAATTCGAATTACTTAAGAATAGTCTAATTTATATTGTTTAGCGATTTAAATAAGCGATTTATTTAATGGTTATTGATTAATTTTTCCCACAAATATAACTTAAATATAATTAAGAACAGTTCTTCGTATGGTATTCACGTTAGAAGAAAACTTGAATCTGTGCTGTACATTTACTAATAAAACATTAAATATTCATCCTTTATAAATGATTATTTAATATAAAAGATTTGAAATACTTATAAAATAATAAATTTTGTAAAAAAACTTGTAGAATTGATTTTAAATTTATTTTAAGCATTAAAATTTCATAAGTTTATAAAAAAATATCAAATTTAAATATTGTTTAAACTTAATTTTTATTTTAAATTTATTTTATAAATTTAAATAATTAATATAAAATTGTTATAAAAGTTGTTTATCATTTTTAAATAGACCTATATATTTTTAATTATTAAATTTAAATAAGTAAGAAAATTATTATTATTGAATTTTTAATTATAAATATAAAAAAACTTTAAAAGGTAATTAGAATTAAGCAATTAATGGAATAAATTCAACAAGTAATAGTGCATAAAAATATGTCATTTTGATTTTTTTCAGCTTAAAATGAATAATTATGCAACTGTCTAATGCACATTATATAAGGTTTGACTGCTTGCATAACAGAAAATAATATATTATTACAAAAATATCTTTTTAAAAATAGATATATCCAGTTTTAACTATTTTGTTTCGTTATAATTTGTTAAAATAATTAAAATCAAACCGTAAGAACTTCACTTTTTATTTAAAATACGAAGAAAAAAGTGAGAAGAAATTGCCTGGAAGCTGTATTAAATTGCTTAATTAACGAATAGTTTTTTTATTAATTGGATCCAAAAATCTTATCATAAAATATTAATCTGTTATTTTTTTATAATGAATTCAAATAACTGCTATGAGATATTTTTAGTTTTTCCAATACCTTTTACAGCAAACACGTGGAAATCGGCACGACGAAGCTGCGAAATATTTACATTTTTGCGAAATTTTATGCAAAATGCGTAATTCCAATGAATCAAAAAATATTTTCTAATTAAAATATTTATTCAAAATTGAAGTTTTTAATTAAATCTATTGTAAAATAGAGCGATTAACAAACGTAAAAAAAAAAAAATATTTTTCTGACGTAATGCTAAAGAAGAGCGTGATAATAGCCTCGTTAATGATTCTAGAGAAATGTTTTAGTTGTAATAATGCTTTAAAGTAAATAATTTAATGTTTTATTTAGTTGTTTAATGTTTTTGCTTAAATAAATATGTTTGTTTTTAAACATAATTGCCAAAATAATCATAAAGGAAAACAATTAAAGCTTCCTATAATGGAACTTTAAACAAATTTCTAAGGAGCAACGACTTTAAAAAAGTTATTTTTTGACGATTTTAATTAAAAGTTTAACGTTATAACGTTATAAATTTCCAATATAGAAGCTTTTTTTAACTGTAAAAACACATTTTTTACTGATCATGACGAATTTATGTGTAAAGAACTCAGTTGTAACCAGTTGGGAAAGTCGTTCAACTCGATATTTCTTGTTGGAGAAGAGGAAATGGTTCCAAGTTTAGCAACATTTCTCATAAATATTCCATGTTTTGAAATATATACAAGATTGTTTTTGCATATAATTTAAATTAAATATATTTTACAAGATAAATTTTGTATATTAATTATGATCATGTGACAAGGAGCATATTTAAATGATGTAGGTCTTTCATAAAAATAAATAAAATATTAACGATTTTATGAAACAAATCAGGATAAATTTCGTAATTAAATTACTTAATTTGACGTTTAAATTAATTTATAATGCGTAAAATTTCATTTAAAACTGATAAGCGTAAATATCAAATTTTCTATACGATTTTGCTTTATAATTTATGTAAAATATAGATTAATCAGTTTACTCCAAGTTAGATCTAGATAAAGGCTCTATCTAGGTGTATATACGCTGTATACGATCTCTAATAATGCTTTCTTCTTGAATCTCAGGCTTAAAGAGGCCCCAAAATTTAATAAATTTATGCAAAACACGAAACGAAAATGATAACATTCAAAAATTTAGTTTTTGTTTTATCGATTTTATTAATGCATTATATTCGTTGTTATAAATAAGTGGGCCCTACCTATTTTTCTTTTTGTAGGAGGGACGGCCTACTTTAGTCACTGGCTCATGCTCCTTTTCACATTGGCGCGTTATAGTTTAAAGGGTCCAGGCGTATTTGAATTAGAGGGCTTCATGTTTTGACTTCAGACATATTTCTTCGAGGGAACTTTTTGAGAAAATATTTTCTTATAAAAGATTGGTTTGGAACCCTTTATTGGTGGGGCCCCAGGCAATTGTCTTTTTTGCCTATGTGTATACCAAGTAATTTTTAATGTATAAATATGAATACTGAATAAGTTTTTAATAATTCAATACAAAATTATTCCAAGAATTTAAGTTTTTAGAGACAAACCGGAGCGGTTATTTACTACAGTTTGCCTCTAAGAATTCGAATTACTTAAGAATAGTCTAATTTATATTGTTTAGCGATTTAAATAAGCGATTTATTTAATGGTTATTGATTAATTTTTCCCACAAATATAACTTAAATATAATTAAGAACAGTTCTTCGTATGGTATTCACGTTAGAAGAAAACTTGAATCTGTGCTGTACATTTACTAATAAAACATTAAATATTCATCCTTTATAAATGATTATTTAATATAAAAGATTTGAAATACTTATAAAATAATAAATTTTGTAAAAAAACTTGTAGAATTGATTTTAAATTTATTTTAAGCATTAAAATTTCATAAGTTTATAAAAAANACTAGGGCAATTGACGCTAGAACGGGTGTAAAACTTTAAAAAAAACGGTCACAATACGACTCCAGAGTGTCGAGATACTTAATAAAAGGTGGTGTAATTAATAGAATTAAAGAAAACCCTCCTGTCACGACACTTAATAAAATTACAAAAAAAAACTCTCCTCTATTTCTGTTACGTTCTGACGTTGTTAAATCCTTTTATTTTGTAGCAAATGTGGCCTAAATGGCCGAAACAGGAGGAACTTAAAACCACAGCAATGGTTCCAGATTTGGGTACTGCTACAGCTGCTGTATCAGCGGGTACACCCTACAGCCTCCAACAGTTTCCCGAACAGGCATTCACACCGGTGGTGACTACGGCCACAGCATCCAACGAGCATGTTAAACAAGAGATCACACCTTATGAGGCCACCATGACATCTATGACGTCACAAGTCCAATCGTCGGCCGTCTATTCGCCTCCGTTAGGTGAGTTTCGAACCCGAGCACGTTATGGAGAATGGTGCAGAATTCAGTTGGGATGCCAACTGCGCGCTTATATATATATATATATATTTTATTTATTTATTTAGTTTTTACAACGACACTAATTTAAATTCGTCAATAATCGAAGAAATAATAGAAATTCCCGTACAGAATATAAGCGAAATGAAATTCACTCATCGATTGGCGTTCTTAGATCAAGTACTCGAAGGGTATGATAAAAGAGCTTGGCCCACCTACGGTCAAGGTAAATTCGTAATTTTCAAGTTTTACAAGTAGTTTTTATTTACGTACAGGGTGGCCCAAAAGTCAGTTAACCGCGTGTTTTTCGAATAAAATCGTAAATACAAATTTTGCAAAATTTGTCTCCAGTGAGACGGAAATTTAGTTTTTAGAGAGGTTAACTAAATTTTGGACCTCCCTATATTTATTTTGATAATATTAAGTGAACTTTTATACCTTTTGTTTTGTTTTTTTTTGTTAAAATGTAAAATCGCTGGCTGCTTTGGGGGATTCGGGATCGAATTCAAAAGGATTCGATTCCTGGTTCCTTGGATTCCCACAAAGCGGGGATCGGGATCTTCAGGAAAATCCTCAGGAATTATTCAGAGGTCTTTCTGAATATTTCGAGTTTCGTCCTTCACCATCCGGTTGTTTTCACCATATGTATACATGACTGAGAGATTTTTTGTCACATACACATAGGGCGAAAGAATCCGAGAGGAGGGAGAATGTTAGAAATATAAAGTTTCTATGAAAATATGTAATTAAGATCAGTAAGTGCATCTACAGTGACTAGAAATTACAATGATAGAGTAGGATAGCGTGTCAGTGTCACGTTAATGGTGACAAATAGTCGATACGTAATAATGTCAAATTAGTATCTTGGTGTTCTTTTCGTCGATTTTTAACAATATAATTCTACTAATTTACAACTACTCTAACGGAATAAAAGTATTATTATCAGTAATATTTTAATCATTAAATTTTAATCATTATCTTATAATTATTAAATTTTTAATTTTTAATAATTTTAAATATAATTTTTTTTCTATTTATAAATGTAAACAAACTCCAGTTATATTGGAATATAT